GGATTGCGGTGTCTGGACTTACCTGTTTCAGGATCACTTGCTGGGATGGGACAGGCATTCCTCACTGAGTGGTGAGCAATTATACTTGCATTACTTGTTTGTATATATTATTTTCAACATAGTTGTTGAAAATAATATATACTTGTTCAACATATTCATCAATGACTTGGATGAGGGAATAGAGTGCATGGTCAGCAAGTTTGCTGATGACACTAAACTGGGAGGAGTGGCTGACACACCTGAAGGCTGTGTTGCCATTCAGAGAGACCTGGACAGGCTGGAGAGTTGGGCAGGGAGAAATTTAATGAAATACAACAAGGGCAAGTGTAGAGTCTTGCATCTGGGTAAGAACAACCCCATGTACCTGTACAAGTTGGGGACTGAACTGTTGGGGAACAGCACAGGGGAAAGGGACCTGGGTTCTTGGTGTGCAGCAGGATGACCATGAGCCAGCAATGTGCCCTTGTGGCAAGAAGGCCAATGGCATCCTGGGGTGTGGTTAGTAGGTCGAGAGAGGTTCTCCTCCCTCTCTACTCTGCCCTGGTGCGGCCGCATCTGGAATATTGTGTCCAGTTCTGGGCCCCTCAGTTCGAGAAGGACAAGGAACTGCTTGAGAGGGCCCAGCGCAGGGCCACAAAGATGATTAAGGGAGTGGAGCATCTCCCTTATGAGGAAAGGCTGAGGGAGCTGGGTCTCTTTAGCTTGGAGAAGAGGAGACTGAGGGGGGACCTCATTAACGTTTATAAATATGTGAAGGGTGACTGTCATGAGGATGGAGCCAGGCTCTTCTCAGTGGCATCCAGTGATAGGACAAGGGGTAATGGATATAAGCTGGAACATAGGAGGTTCCGCTTAAACATGAGGAAGAACTTCTTCCCAGTAAGGGTAACAGAACACTGGAACAGGCTGCCCAGAGAGGTCGTGGGGTCTCCTTCTCTGGAGATGTTCAAAACCTGCCTGGATGCGTTCTTGTGTGATCTGATCTAGGTGGTCCTGCTCAGGCAGGGGGATTATTCTTATCTCAACCCACGAGTCTCCTTCCCTTTTCCCCTTTAATTCTCTTCCCCATTGTCTGAGGAGGGGGTGGATGGTAAGTGAGCGGCTGTGTGGTGTTTAGTTGCTGGCTGGGTTAAACTGCAACAAAGGGGAGAATTGCCCGTGAGTGAAACAGTTTGTAAAGTCTGTAGACTTCTTACTTGTTGGTATTCTCAACTCCTTGTTGATCCTATTTATTGTGTTAAATTGATAATGTATGAATCCCAAGCTTCAAGGTTCTTGCCAAACCTGATCTATTTTTTCCTAACATCTTGAGGTATAATTTGGCTCTGGAGTGTTCCCTTTCTGCCTTCAAAGGGTTGAAAATTGGCCCAAACTAGAGAGAGAATGTAGGGAAGAATGCATTGATACTCTCAGTCTTTCGTTAGTGTATTTTACTTGACTGTAAAAAGCCAAAGCACTTGCCAAATGTAGAGTAAGAAAGACATTTCTTAATATATTAGATTGGCATAGATAATTTTTCCCCTTCCTTTATAGTGTAGGCTATCATCCACTCCTTAACATAGACATCTTCACTGATGAGATTCCTTGTTATTGCAATGACCTAGAATATTGGTGGTGCCATAAATCTCTCTTATTATTGTCCTGTGAAATATTGTAGGATTTTATGGCACTTGGCTTCTGTGGGAAAGGTTTTAAGTTCGCTACAGGGTATTTAGCAGGGTTTTTTTTGTGGCTTGTAATGTGTGGGAATAGCTAGATTGTATGTTTTGCTCTGAAGTTCTTCACACACTGAGTGAAATGGATTGACTGATCCTCTGTCCCATACTGTAACTGGGAAAATGTTTCCTACAAGAAATCAGGTTAATTTTTTTTATGTGTTCCCATCTGATTTTTGTCATAACATTATCACTTTTATTTTTGTGGTGGGGATGAGTTAAGAAGGTCAAGACTTACCTCTTCTTTTATTATGTTTATAAAAACCTTCCAATGTATCATTCTAGTTTTCTTAAGAAAGCAAGTGAAACACACTTCTCCAGAAAGACAATCTATTCTGAAATACTTTTATTCAATACTTTGATGAAATGCTCTGTCTAGTAGAATTTGGGATGTGTGCAGAATCAAATGTACACTCATGCTGGAAGGGGCTTTGAGCAGGTCTGTAGTTCAGCCTCCTGCACAAAGCAGGGTCGATGCTTTAGTGTTGACACCAGATTGCTTGGCACTTTCTCCAGTTGGTCTCAAAAATCTCCAACAACTAATTCCATTGCTGGTCTGGACAATCTGTTCCAATGCTAATGCTCCAACAATTACCTTCAAAAACTCTACTGTTTCAGTGTATGAACATGGTCTCTTGTCCTCCCACCAGGCACCTCCATGAAAAGCCTAGCTCTATCTACTCAGTAACCTCCTTGTAAGTACTGTAAGACTGCTGCTAGGTCCTCCCAGAGCTGTCTCTTCTTCAGGCTAAACAAGCCCTGCTCCCTCAGCCCCTCCTCACAGGGCAAATTCTCCAACCTCCGATAATTTCAGTGGTCGTCTGCTTGACTTACTCAAATTTATGAACATCCTTCTTGTGTTGGGGACCCAAAATTAGATACAGTATTTGAGATGTAGTCTTACTAGTATCAAGTAAAGGGTTTCTCTCTGACGGATACAAGAAGTATGCATGCCTTTTGAGGTTCCTGGGTTCCAAAACCCAAAAATCTGGACTAGAACCACATTTTTCAGTCAAGTATGTAGTGTATGGTCTTGATCTTCTTACCCCACGAGTGTATGTTCTTTTGTTCCATTAGTATATTTGTCTTATAAATTATTTATAGTCAGACTCCCAAAATAGCAATGCACTTTACGTTTTAAAAATTGTCTCTGGCATCCGTTTCACTACATTAAAGTTACCGTGTGTTTTCTGTCCAGTTAATTAGAATGTGTATTGAAAAGCCTAGATCTAGAGTAAGTTACAAAGGATTAAGTAAAAGTACATGTGTGTGATAAACTAATGTTGTCTTTGCTTAGTTTTCAAATTGAATAACATGAAACTAAAATAATCCGGTCATGCCTAGTCGCATAGCCCTTTACTATGGAATTTACACTTTGTTTGCTTTTTGCCACAAGCATGAGCATTTCAAATCCTGAGAGACTGATGCACCTCTTTTCTTAGAGTATTTTCTTCTGTTTCCTTTATAAAATATGAAAAAATAAATAAGGAAGAATACATTTGGAAGTCATTAAGGTTGCAGAGTTAGTCATTTACTTAAAAGCTGGTAGCAGCCCAAATTAGGTTTGAAAGTAAATGAAATGTACACATAGCAAATTGGGAGGAGGTCTGAATAAAGTAGAGAGAAATCTATTACACATAAAAGCCTCTTTAAAATGTTGTTCAGTACATCTGGAGAAAAACCACTAAAACCTGCAGAGTACCCTGGAGAAAATTAATGCCAAAAGAGGCACAAGGTGTCAGAGAACAAAAACCAAGCCATGATTTCAACTGAAGTTAGGTAACTAAACAGACTAATGCAATTCAATGCATGGCTCTAAGCACTGACAGTCTGATGTCATAGGCACTAATCACGCACTTAAAACTCTCACATGCTACGTGTTTTGCCAGGCTGAGCCTCTGCAGTGAGACATTATGGGATAAGTACGGAATGTCGTAACCACATGTTGCAGCCACATGGTTCTATCCTGGGCATTGCTCTACAAGACATTGATCAACAAGGGGGCTTCAAACAGAAGTTACAAAATAGCTGACACTGACATGGTTACTTTGAACTTAATAGGAGTGAAGAAGAATAAAATTGGTCTGTAATAGGTTTCTGTATTATATGTAGCATGTATTCAGCATATGTAGTATGTATATGAATTATGTCTATGCGTGTGTATATATGTGATATATGAAAAAGTTCAAGGAAAGGAAAAATACAGTGCTTGAAAAAAAAAATCTTATTAAGTGCAGGGGAACGACAACTGTACAAACACCAGGTGGGATCCTGTCTGGAACAAAGCCCAAAAGAATTTTGGCACCGGGTTTGGACATGGCCAGGATTTTCTTCAGTTCTTAAATATAACATGCCTTCTTGTCCTCCAGCTCAGTATGGAGATGCTTATATGCTTCGGTTGTATATAATCTCCATATTCATAACTGTGTTGGGTATCCCCCATTACTTCTGTAAAATCCATCCATATTTGCCCTCTTCCTTTCAAGTACAAGAATTTGAAAGATTACCTTTTAGGGAAATACCTAATACCAGAGCTCAAAAGACGAAAGATGGCTCTGTTTTAATGTGTACACATGCAGCGGGTTTTTTTGAGTTTATAAACGTTACAATTACATAGTTGATGTTGAAGTTTGGTCTGCCTCATGTATTGTACAGTATCTGACTGAACCAGTGGTGTATAATAAAACTTACTACAGGCCATAGGTTTTGATAGGTGTTTGACCTACAAGTAGCAACATGGTGAAAAACTTTTACTACATATGGAAATCTTCAGATTCGTCCTCCTCAAATATATCTCACATAAAAGGCCAGCTTCATTGCTAATCTTTTCAAGCCTTGATTGTTTGTGGTAATGAATGGGAGAATAGCACTGGACATCTGATCACAGAATCACAGAATGATCCTATAGGTAAGTAGCCTCCTGCAGAACAGTCATTAAAATCACTGTGAATTATATATTCTAGACATCTATGTACTGGATCTATTATTTTCATATGAAAAAGAATGGTCTGTGATCTAGAATTAGATAAATTCTTGACAATTAAACATAGTTGAGACAAAAAGTAGGAATGCTATGGAAGGCTATACAGTGAAGAGTCTAAAGAACAAGAATGCAGAAAAGTTACTATTCCGGGCCCTAAACATAAAATACAGCAGGCAAGAGAAAGAAGCCTCATAGTAGCAGCTTGCATTTTGCAGGATGCTTCTATACTATAAAAAGTAACTTTCTTAAATAAAAGAATTCCCTTATTACAATGTTATAAACTTTCCAAATTTCTTTTGCAGACTTTTGCCCAGCCAGTTAAGTTTAACCCTGACTTTGGGGTTTTTGAAGTAATTAATGATGCCCCACAATGCCTGGAAAGTCAGCTGAAAAAAATTCTACATGATCAGAAACCTCCAAATCCCATTTATGGCGTTCTAAGGAAAGCAAAGAATCACGGGCAGCTCTCCAAAATGCGCAGTGCTTCTCCAACCTTCAATATTGATCCAAATTACAACACTATGGTAAGCATCTTATAGCCCCTGAGTTTATATTTAGATCTTACTGTAGTGATACTGGCAGTAGTTATTGTTGTGTTTGGCTTGGTAGCTTGGGAAAAATGTTAATTTATGTTAGGAAAACATAATGATGGGCCAAATTATGCCCTGGAACGCACATGTGTCTAGCAGACAAGTGAACGGAATTACACATGTACATCCTGTAGCACAGAATTTTGAAGAATCCATAAGGCAAGATTCAGTTGTGTGGTCTGAATACTTTTTTAATATTAAAAGAAAAAATATTATGACAACAGTTACTTTACTAGTGATCCCTGGAATGTGCAAATTGACTGAAACTAATGCATCTCAGTCTTTCCTTATTAATTAATTTCCTTGTGTGGCTATGAGCTCATCTGTGGTCTGGCAACACATAAGTCTCTCTTCCATTAATTCCCAAAGGTTTTACATGGTTAACATCAATTGAAATGGCCAGAGAAAATAATCTTTGGCAACAAGAAAACTAAATGGAAAGCTAGGTTGGATTTTAGAAAAAAATTCTTGTTTCAGACTTGCTCAGGCACAATCAATTTTGGTATTCTTACCTGTTTGCTTTCAGGGCTTTCTTCAGTACTAAATTAGGCAGGTTAAAACTGGGAATTGAAGCACCATATGCACTTGAGAGGCTACAAGATAGTATAATTAGTTGTGGGAGTTTAGAGTTTACCTTTAAAGAACAGGTTTGGAGGAGAAAAAATATTTCTCTGGGATACTTGGTTTATTCCTTTCCTGCTTACTTTGCATTGGTGTGACTGATGGGACTTCATTCAAGGCCAGGCTAAGGTCTTGCTACATTTTCAGAGGCGGCTGCTCTAAATTATGTCATAGCTGGAAAGCTGAGAGAAAATCAGGGAGTTGTAACAGTCTGCTGCTCTGCCTACTATAAGCTTAATGATTTTCAGAAAAGAAAACAGTGTTGAGAGAGGCCAAAAGGCAATGATGTTTAACAAAATGATAGTAATGTAAGATTGCAATTATCTGCAGCTAAGTGGGACAATGGCAACAATAGGACAAAGCTCACAGGCATCCCTACCCTGTTAAATCATTATTTTTAAAAATCATAGAACCATAGAATGGTTTGGGTTGGAAGGGACCTCAAAGATCATCTAGTTCAACCCCCCTGCCATGGGCAGGGAAACCCTCCACTACACCAGGTTGCCCAAAGTCTCATCCAAATATGCTTTGCTTGAGATCACAAAAGCAGAAGGGCTATTCTTGATCTCTTATCTGCTCTCACGATTCAACTGAGGAAATGTGTGCTTGTGCAAGTGTGGCTAATGTTGCTCTCTGAGATAACCTTATATCATTGCAACTGTGGATGGCCTTTCTTGACAAATTCGAAGTCATTATTTACATCTTTCATGTGGTTTGACGCAAGAGGACTCCTGTATTATTTAAGATCGGAAGTATTATGGCCTTTTCAGGAGCACTATGCCTCACTACACTTTCTTCTCCTTTTTGGGGGAAAGGGTGATGCTTCCTCTTGTTTTTGACTCCTCATTCGGTGGACAGGTGACCTAGATGCCTCATCCAGTTCAGCTTGGCATCTCAAGGCTGAGCTGGAACAAAATGGCCTACAAAACACCATGCCAAAAACTGTCACTGCCAACTACACAAGATGAAAGAAGTCAGCCTCCTTTATTGTGCTATACTATGACTGCACCAGAAGCCATCCTAGACCAACTGCATCAAACAGTTCAGTTCAGATCAAATAGGATTTGATCTTCCAGTCACTGGGTGATGCTGCCTCCTTTGCCTTGACTGTTTTCTTCACACCGACTGAAGAGATTGACAGTTGCTCTGAATGTTACGTTGCTAAAAAAGGCACCTTGAGTGGCCATCACTGGCACATTACTATGGAAAAAATGAGCTATGATTGGGGAATCCTATTAGACCTTTCAGGCTACAGCCTGAATTTAAACACATTTTGCCTAAGAAATACACCTAGTGGTATTTTTCTGGGTAATTTTCTTCCCTTTCGGACTGTTACAAATTTACAGGTAAGGAAAATTTCTCTGTATGTGTGCATGTGCACTTGCGAATTCTTGATATGGAGGTAAGTATCTTCTCATCAACAGTCAAAATCAACTTGGCATAAAATACATTCAGAAAAAACCCTGCAGAGTTGGGTAGAATTGATCACAACTATGGAAAGAAACTGGCTGGCATCCCGCATACCTTACTTCAGAGAAACCTCAGTTCAGCAAAGCACTTAAGTATGTGTTTAACTTTAATCAAGGGAAGTTAAACACATGCTTAAACTTAAACACGTGCTAAAAGCTTTACTGGATTGGGTCCCAGCAAGGCCTAAGGCTGACTGGGTAAGGAAGCTACCCAAGGTAGCCGACTCCATCAGACTAAATGTAGCATCTTTCTCTGGGGAAGGGAAAAGAGTAGAGGTTCTTTCCTTCTGATACTACACGTACTTATACATACCAGCCATGTACAGACACGAACATGTTATGAATCACTCAGATAAAAAAACGGGCTATGAGTCAGTAAATACATAAATATTAAATGCCAAAATAAAGACACGATTTTCTGTATTCAGAAAAGCTTGTCAGTTACCAAAAGGAGGCATACACTCTGTGGTTGGGAGTAATTAGTCTCCATCTCTACAAATTACACTGTATGAGCTACTGCCAACATAAGCTTTCCATATTTTGAAATATTTTATTCTCTCTAAATGAAACCACCCACTTTCTGAGTAATTCAGATTTTTTTAATCCCCTACAGATATATATGAGGCAGAAATAACCCTTGTCCCTAATGGAAAATTAGCTCACGGAAAGAAAATTTAAAATGTAATCTACATGAACTGATTATCTGATATAGCAAGTAGCATCCATCCTTGCCCAAACTTCACCTGTTTTTATGGACAAGCAGAGTTACTGCATTCTTCTGAACTTTCACTAAAAGGAAAAATGCTTTTTTTTTTTCACTAAAAGGAAAAAAAACCTTAGATAAATAAAACAGGTCATCCCCTAAGAGTGGAAAATGTATGCTCTTAAAAAAAAATATTTAAAAGTGTGCTGTATGTCATTTCTAAGGGAAACAGCTATGGATTACTGAGGCCCATAGACAGAGAGCTTGCTCTCTGTGTAAGACTCTAGGCATAGTTTTTTTTTGTTAGCTTGCTCTGTGTAGCTCACTGCTCAACACCTCCCTTCCACAGCCCAAACCAATCTTTTGAGGCACCTCCCTTGCTGCTTTGATGAGGCACTGAGGCTTAGACTGCTGTTAATAGGAATATAAACTAACTCAATTGTCCCAGCAAGATTAAGGCCAAACTGGATAACAAAGGTGCTTATTGTACATTTGTCTTCCTGAGACAATGCTTCTGTAGAAGAGGGGTGGAGAGAATCTGTTACATGGCAAACAAAACAAGAAAGTCAAGAATACTTCAAAACTTCAGCATTCTTTTTCCAATAGTGTCTTGATCGAGAACAAGCAATCCAGTGGATTAAGAAAGAAAGACTTCCAGCATTTCTAGAAAGCGACTGTTACTTTGAATACAGGTATTGCAATCTTTTATGCTGTCCCTCAGTTTTAAATGCGTACAATTTTCTTTTTGACCTAATTCATCTTCACAGTACCTTTAATATGTTTTCTCTCACCTCTTGTCCTGTTTAATTTTAGCATTTGAGTAACCTGGACAAAGCAAAATCAGTGACTTTCTTCACTCATTGTTCCGTAATTCTCCTTGGTCATGAATTACAAGCTAAATTACACCATTACAGACAGAGA